AGTGTAAGTGCACATTGGCTTCCATTATTTATTTATTTCAAATGGCAGGCGTTATGATAGGTATCATTAACCCTTTAGTTGACTTCAGGCTTCACAGAAAGGAAGATAAACAGTAAAGTGGCAAAACATCGAGAGGGGGACAGAATAATGATTCACAGACGTAAAAGAGACAGACAGACACAATGGTAGAAAAAGGTGAGGTGAGTACTGTGAAATTATTCGAATATGAAATGCAGTGGGGTCTTGGTAGTTTGAAGTCAGAAGTCAACTGCCGGTTAATAGACTTTTTTGCCGTATGAGTATACGTTGCCCAGGGTGCACCACGTGGAGGTAAGTCTATCGCACACCCCTTGGCTTCCATTATAATTTGTTGCATCTGCAGTAAAATTGTTTCTATTACTTATCAGCATTCAATACTTTTTTCCAGTATAACAATTTTACCAAAACTGTCAGAGAGTGGAGTCAAGTTTCTTATTACAAGTGACAGTTTCTTTAAAATCGTTCTGAATTTTCCGCATAACTATATTAAAATCGATTGAATCCCTACTATTTGTGAAAATAAGTTTGTCATATATCAGTTTTTAACTGATCGATAAGTTATTATAAGCATAAAATTCAGCGTTAATACTGTTATTGTCAAATGGAATTCGAGGGTAGAAACCTTGCTGGTGAGCTGTTGTTAGACCTCAGGCAATGTCTGAATGCAACAGGAGACGAAAAATATTGTACGGTAAGTTCTAAATAAAAAGTAGAGGATAAACTCGGCACAATATGCTTATTAATTATTGGTCGCATTAGTAGATCACTTTAAAATGGCAAAACTTACCAAAAACTGAAGATTTATTTACGAGCATGCGTAATTAAACAATCTTTTCCACTTTATTTTTATCTGCCAAGGGTTTCATTGTTATTCTTGAACACTGCCAAATTTCAAATTTTCATGATTTAACAATCCTGAGAAGAGTCAAAGGGATTCCTTTTGATTTACAATAAATGTTTTCCCAAAATAAGTAATAAATGTGTTTCCTTCATGGTTAGGAAATATTTCTATTGGTCCAATACTAGTTGATAGATGGCTTATTGGGATGAGTAATCCGGTTACTATTTATCTTGTTCGTTTATCCCTTGTAGGCGTTTCTACCATTTGAAGTACAGCAAAAGTCCGAAAATCTTACTTCTTCATGGTTGCCTATAACCCAAGTAGGAACTACTTCTCAATTTGCTTGCCTAAGCCTCCTTCTTCTTCTGACCATGACCCCCTCTGTTCCGCCGACAACGATCAATAGTGCCATTGTTGCAGCGATCTTCTCCTGTCTATATGTCAGTCTTGCTATCACTCGATTCATGCACGAACCACCAGTATTAACCGCTAAGAGGTAATTTCGAAATATATTTACTACTTATATATTAAATATTAAATTTCTCTGACGATCCATAATTTGGGTTCTAGTATAAGGTCTTTCTGGTTGACAACAGTTCCTGATGCAGTTGCAGCTCACATCGTCTTCATTCTCCTCATCTGTTTTCTTCCTTGGCAAACTGTTAAGCTACACATGCTGACTGAACAATGGATCAAATTTGTAAGTGGGTGCTACGTTCAGATCACTTTCTAATGCCCCCTTTGGTTTTCCAGATTCTCAAAGCGAAGGTCGAGCTTACTCGATGTCGTTTCGCCCTCGAAAATCTTTTGGAAAATAGAATCCCCAGGACATACATGCAGATGGAACCGAACAGAACACTATCGGAGTCGACTGCAGATTCAGCTAATTTATCCGATCTTTTTCCTCCTAAAGAAAACTTAGCTACAGCAGTTATTGCAATCACCATCCATGGAATTGGTAAGAATAGAAATTCGTATCCACTTTACTCTTTTACAAGTAAAAACTAATACAATCTTTATTTTCGAATAGGAAAAGGCGACGAGATGCTACAACATCAGCGTTCACCAATCAGAACCGCTGGGTTAAGCCAATCAATAACTACCACAGCAACTACAGCTTCTTCGTCCAATAGCGTCTCAGCAAGTCATCGGTCTCGTGAAGCTACTGTCATAGCTGATGCTGTGAGGAGATTGAATCGTCGAATATGCCTTGTCGATCAAATGGCCTATGGAGGAGATAGTGAAGAGAATCCAGAATTAATCGATAGTTCTGTTGAAAGAATTATTAAATCCATTTCAAGACCATCATTGCCACTTATAAAAGTTTATTCGGTTGGCAATTGTATTGCTTATGCCCTAATGGAAACGGTAATTTGGGTTTATACCCTTATCAAATTACCCATGAAACTTCAATTTACTAACTTTTTTTAACGACTTATAGGAGGCAAAGGATTCCCTTTCGAAACTTGGTGCATTTACGGCATTTCTCATTAGACTTTTTGAAGAGTTAGAGAGTCATTATCTTCAGAAATCTGGAGAAGAACAAAGAAATGCCTACGAGACCTTTGCTTGCCGTCTTCAGATTGGTGAGCTATAAAGAAAGGGGGATAGTTTCTTACAATATCACCTTATCATCAAAAATAAATTTTAACCCGTTTTTAATAAATTGTTAAAACAGCCAATATGTGTTTAAATTAATTATTTTTATTAAGTTGTAGATAAGACTGGTTAAAAATACTAGATGAAGACCTATGGTTTTAGAAGGGTTATAAGATTTTTATGGTGAAAATGGATTTCGATTTCACTTTTGTTCCAAAATAACACTGTTACATAATCTTCACTTTTAGTCATGCCACTCGTTTGATTAACTTGATTAACTAATTAACTTGCGTGAAAATTTCCGTGTATTTGATTATTTAAGGTCGTTTAAATTATTACTTTAGGTCTTCATGTAGGAGCCACGGTCAGCGGTGTAGTCGACGGTCCCCAATTCCTTCTTCTCCACGAAACCCTGGAGTTTGCTCTTCGTCTAGCCACTTCCTCACCTCCCTCCCTAATCGACAAGTCGATAATCATCGCTTCGTCTGACTTTGTTGCCCACAGAGGTGGGGAGCGTCTTATTGGACTGCAGGCGATTGGTGTTAATGGTTCAAGCGGTGAAAATGACGCCTTTTTGTGGTGCAGTGATGCTCAGCATATTTCGCGTCTCTCATCCGTTATGCGACCGGTATTGAGTTCAGCCATTCAACCTCCTATTGTCAGAAATAGGGTAAATTTCTAATACCAATTATTAATTCAAGGACCTAAAGGTCATCTCTTTAAGAACAGATTGTCAGAAAAGAAGTCTTATTTTCTCAATCTTTTTATTTTAATGGCGTTAGCTAAAATTTGCTGTAAATGTCGTTTGCCAGTCTTTGTTTTAACATAATTACGAAATTGGAAGTTTTTATTGTAGTAATTGCTAGGCTTTGCGTTATGTTATTTTACTTTTACTAAACCGACACTAATAACTTGCTCTATAAATCAAGTGATTAAGTCGTTTATTTTTTCTCCATGAAGTCAAAGAAGACTGTGACCTCTCCCAAGTTCTCCCATCCAAGATCTACCACATCGGCCAATTCGAACGCAACACCACCTCCGCCACCACCTCCACCGCACAAACGCAATTATGCTACTGGCGAAGCTAGATATCAAAATCATAACTCCCCTCTCATTGTAAGACTCAAAAAATCAACAATTTGGAAATTTAATTTTTAGGAGTTAGTAGTGATAGTGTTCTAATGCACTGCTTATTTTAGTCAAACCGCAATAGGAAGATGTCTTCGCCTTTGCTTCCCCCAAGACATGCCTCTCCTTCTTCTAAATGGACTCAAAATACCGTCTCATTGGACGTCCATGAAGATAATGTTGACAGAGGTAACGATCGTCACTTTAAAGATTGAACGAATTCGAGTTGGTTATTGGATTTGTCTTTTTTTCTCAAAATTAATATGTGTAACTATGGAATGGGGCACACAAGACGAACTACTGAGTTGAAGATAATTTATCGGAATTAGGTTTGAAGTGGAGGGGCTGAGCAAAAACACTGACAGAATTTCAGTTTTATTTCTTGGAGAGAGTTTAAACCAAATAGTGAATAGGACAATGTCAAACTTGAGGTAAGTCGAGAAACAAAACCTTGCTGTTTCCTCACTACGTTGAAATTCAGCTTTTCCTATTTCGACACCGTTTGCGCAGATTTTATTTAAACTTGAAGCCTGGACTTCTGTAATTATGTGTTGAGGAGTTTGTCAGGGGAAGTTTTTCTGTCATCACGTTATAATTCTAGTTGGCTTCTACCGTAGAGGCTGTTGCACGTTATCTTTCTAGCCGTGCTTTGAACAATATTTACTTCGATATCGTTTACCTTGACAATCCGCAAAGAGGACAGGCTTGACAAATGTTTTATGCTGTTTCTCTCGAGGCTTAAGGGACTTTACTTTTGGTTTAAGAACTGGCCCGATCATCACTTATTCTCCTTTGGCCTTCAGGGCAATAAGTCATATAACAATATCAGGTAGACAGTTATCATTCTCAGGCGTGCCCATATTTTTTTGGAACCCGTTTAATAAGTCCTGCGTTTATCTAACTGAAGGTATGACCGTTCTAGATCTAAATACGAGTGTATTCCGATTGGTTCTTCATACGTTATATTTGTCTAGAATTTGTTTGTATCTCCGCAGAATTTTTATGCCTAATTGGAATAAATCGTCTTTCAGAACTCTTGTCTCTCTTTCAAACCCCAGCAGTTTGCAAGAACTTCCTCAATTATGTGTTGGACTACTGCGGTAAAGAGAGTTGGATAATCTTTGGCTCTGTCTGACAACCTTTTCCATAAAGATATTTAACTTGTGTTCTTTATGTAGCCATTTGTACATGTATAATTACTAAAGCAACTTTAATAACTTATAGCATGTTTTGCGATGGGTGATGTTGAGATCGTGAATGGCTACGCTCAACCAACAACCCGTTTACTCGGAAACGCAGCCACGACGTCTCCATACTGTGTCACGAAGGATACAAGCGGTTATTCCAATCACACAAACCGACAGGTAATGCTATTTATAGTTATTTAAGTAGCACCGATAGATATTGACTCTATACTTGTGTTTTAGTCGGCTTTTGAAATGCATAAGAGAGGGACTATTCTAATTGATGCCTCAAAAAATCCCTTAATGTCTCTCGAAAACGACTTCTTGGTCGTGGAAGGTGCTTGTGAACGAATTGCTCAAAGTGATGGAGTGACTTCTGTATCATCTATGTCACCTAGTAACACAACTCATCACCACAGCAACCCTCTGTACACCGATAATGAATACTATGATGAGGAGGATTTGAGCGTTGACGGAATTGATGATATGAATGGAATTAAAAATCCTGAAGGCGTATCAGACGGTGGACTAGATGCTGGTTTGGAATGGCTGCAAAGAGCTCCTATGGTAGGGGATTTCACCGTCTCAGTTACTTCGTAAGTCGAAAAGGGGCAATCCTGCTGATTTCTTCTAAGTTTTGACTGTTTTCATTCTTGATATTTAGAAATGGATCAAATTATCCAAACTACCGTCGACCGTCACCTCCTCCCTCTAATCGAAGGCGAACGCTTTACGATAGTTCATTGGCTGTTGGTGATTCGCCCTTAGGCAATGAAAATAATGAAAATCGCAGGAGATTATCAATAAAGGTAAGTTAAATTTCAGACACCAAAAGTCTGTGGTGTCAATATGAGGTGTTGGCTAGTTAAAATCGATAATGTAATTCCTATTTTAGTTTTGGGTAAAGTGTACATAAGTTTCTAGTTTGTTATGAATCTGTTACTATTCATTTAAGTAAATTTAAAAAATCCTTTGCTAGGTCGTTCTTACTACTTTTTGATGAAATACCGACAAAATTTATTTTCAAATGGAAAATCGTTTTGCTTAGAAATGTTCCTTGATGCATTTATTCCGAAAACATATTTATAGCCCTTTCGGTTCTGCATTATAAGGTTTGTTTTGTACTTTTGATAAAATATCAGAAGGATAAATTGTTCAGTGGGATGTATTAAAGTAAATAACTCACCAATAACTTGTCTCAAACAAGCGAACTGTAGATTGTGACAGTTATTAGATCATGCTGACGATAAAGGAGTTACTTGGTAGTTCATCGATTGATAGGAAATTTATAAGAACATTAGACTCCAATGAATACATACACATGCAGCATCACTGATTTATGAATCCAGGTACACTAATGCAAATACAAAAATTGATGCATACTTTTGTCGTTGCAGTTTCCTCTTCCTCATACTTCGTCTTTTAGATTAGTAATTACTTCTAGGACCTTTAATAAGGGTTAAATTTGTATGATAAATCCTCCAAGTGATCATTCTATGCAATTAAACCTATGGTATTATGGCTACATACCGTTAGTTTAATCTACAATAAGATTATTTTCGTTTTGTAGGTTTAGTGAATATGCAAATCCCTAAGAAAAAGAAACCACTCTTATACCCTAATTCACGGTGAAAATTTACTCTCCTTTCACTATTGAACCAAACATAGGCACATTCTTGAAATGTGAATTATTAATTAAATTCACAGTGAAGGTTTTTTTGTAATTGATTATATTTTTTGTATCAAAGTGGTTTAATGTGTGTTATCATTTTTTGCAGCAAAGTGACAACAAATCAGTATCAATTGATATGTTGAGCACCTGTGTGGCACCCTCGGTCGGTTGTGAATATGAATGTGAGTTAGTTTTACTCCTCTGAATGAATTATCATTATGAACGAACCCTTATTTAACTTTTTCTCCAGTCGAAGCAGTCACAACAGACTTCAGCGTCAATGAAAACGACGGCGATGACGTCGATGATTTTGACGATGATGAAAATGATCATGATCTAGAAATGGATGTATCAGAAGCCAACAATGAGGAATCTCTTCTCCCAGAACCCATAAATGTTCCCCTACTCATGGACACCTCCTGGATGGCCTCTGCAGATGGAGCTGGTCAGATTCATGATGATAACGACGGTGGCGCGTTAAAAGTGAAGCAAAAGATGAGTGACTCAATGTTGGTGGAGACCGGAGGACCTCTTGAAGATGACTTCTCTGAATTTTCGTCGTCAGCAGCTGCCCCGATCGTCTCCGGAGTAAATGATGATGCTTCCTCTTCAGTGAATAATGTGAGATGGTATTTCTGTTCTTCTCTTACAAATACATGATATAGAATACGAGGAAATAATGAGAAGGGGAATAGAATCTATATAGTTACATCAAATCGCAGGCGTTTTGATATTTATCATTAGAGCTTTAGCTGACTTCAGGCTTCACAGAAGGGAGGAACATTAAAGTGAGAAAAGTAGAGAGGAGGAACAGAGGAATGCTTCACAGATGTAAGAGACAGACAGTCACAAAGGCATAGAAAAAGGGGAGGTGAGTACTGTAAAAGTGGTCGAAAATGGCGTCATGGTGGCTTGAAGTCAGAAATTAACTGCCAGTTTATAGACTTTTTTTGCTATATGAGTATACGTTGTCCAAGGGGCACCACGTGAAGGTAAGTCTATCGCGCACCCCGTTGTGTAAGAAGTTATGTGATGAAAACCAACATCTTTATATTGTGTAATACAATCAATCGGTTATCGTAGAACAACTACTTCTCTACAGCGGACAACCGCTGTGAACCGTGGTATAGTTTGAGAATTTTTATTAAACTTCCTATTTCTGTTGAACTAGTAAGTGAGCCCAGATCGACAATTAAAGTTTGTTGAGACAGATTAACATAATTATTATAAATTTAGTTGCCATTAAAGCATAGATTTAACTAAGGCTATTTGAAGATAAATCATGATAACCTTAATCGTCCTCTATGGTCCCACTTGACTCAGCATTCTTTATGATTCTAATTAAGTACTTTGGCAGTTTCAACTTTTAAGTGTACTTAAAAAATTGCAGGAGCTTTGACGTTAGCTATTGCTTAATTTCCTTTAGTTGGTTACTTACACTACTGACGAAAATCTCGACGAAGACTGTTCCGACTCTGCTTTTCTTCCTGTCTACTTCCCTCTTCCTGACCAATCCTCCAATCAGCGTGGACGTCGACTTCCAGATGTCGCTCCTGTCAGTCTTCCTAATTTTGGTGTGGGCAACACGGGTTTGCCTATGGCCAATCAAATTCGAAAACCTTCCTCCCCTCCTCTTCTTATGGACCTCACTTGTGTTCCACCAATGGCAAATTCAAATACATCTGACTTGTGGGTTTTCTTTTGGCTGCTTCCAGGGTCATCTTTTTTGCAAGCCAATATTGTTCTTTTTTTAAATTTAGGGCTGAATATGATAACCTTGAAAACGCTTACTCTTCACCACCGCAACCTGCAGTACAAGCATCGATTATTAATAATCGATTGCCGCTCAATACTCCACAGCGCAGTGGGGGTTGGAGACCACGTGATGCAAGAAACCATCGAAAGGGTTGTGGGGGTTTCCAGTTGCTTGAAAAAATCGATCAGAAGGTTCGAGTCAATGCAGATATAGTAGACGAGGCGAGAAGAATCTGTCAAAGATTACACGCCATGGGTTGGGAATCTGCATTGTCTCTTCAAACTCACTCCTCTGAATCTAATCCTACTGGTAAGTTAATGAAGCTTAAGTTGACCGATTTTTTCAATAAAATCAAAAGATGCAGGACTTCCAAGACTTGGCGTTCTTGAGAGCGACCAATTGGAGTGGGCCTCAGTTTCATATAAATTACTACATTATTTCAATCTGTATTATTCCTCCTGTATTCCAATCACTTAGTCATTTCTTATTTCATGTATAAGATGCTCAATAATCTAAATTTGTGCTAAACTAAGGGCTTTTCAAGGACGGGAAAACTAAGGTGTTTAGTTGGCTAACGATTTTATTATCACTTTATTGCATATAACAGACCCTTTTAATAATGGCAAAGCAACTGAATAAGGACACGAGGAAAAGAATTCAATGAGATATGAAAGATGATGGTGAGAGATCAACTGTAAGTTGGCAACGCAGTCAGGACATCATAAATTTTACTGTGTTTAAAGTAAGAAGTCTTGAGTTTTGCTATCCCAATGTTCGAATTTCATGAAATTACTGCTACTTTCGTGGGTGAGATGATGTTTACAATAATAAAAGCTCTTGATCGGCTGATTTAAATCTTTGGTTGATTATGCCAATCCGAACTGTTTATGTCATAGTGGCCAGGCGCGTGCGCACATTCTGATGTGGCAGTGTACACTCAAAGTGACTCCTCTAATAATTTATTTCATTCTGTTTTTTTCTAGTCTAAGTTTATTTTTTGGAAAGGTAAAATTACCTATTCTTTTGGATTCTACATTGAACTTTCGCTCATCAGCAAGCCTAGATTTATTTTTTAACATTGGCTCCAACATTTGGCACCAATGTATAGGACGCTTTACAAGTTTCAAGATTAACATTCACTCAGTTGGCCCTATTCCCATGATTAAGAGACTTTTAATTGCTTCCTCTCTCTTCTTTGTTACTTTAGCACTCAGCTATAAGACATACTTTTGCTAAATTTGACTCAGGGCAATCTCTTTGAAATCGCCGTGCATTACTTGCCCTGGTTATCGTAGACTATTCACTTATTTCCAGGAGAATCGGCAACAAACTTGTACATCACTCTTGTTTTCTATTGTTTGCGGTTCCTTGTCATTCGGTCCTGAATGAGTTGCTCTGCGGTTGATCTGTACCATCAACAGCGTGCTTAGAATCAGATGAGGCCTTGATGATGCGAGATAATTCATTAAGTTTTATTTAGTTAAAAAGTGTTTTCAACTTATAGTAATCTCTTAATTATTGTCCTACACTTAGATCCATTCTATCGTCCTCATCACGACGATCCTTCTAGCAGAAAGCCAAAAGTGCTCTTGCCACCACCTCCACAGCTTTCGACTCGGATTTCAAAGCGTGGTGCTGCTGATTATGTCAACTCTCAGAGTCTGTTGCGACGTTTGCATGGATTTGACAGTGGAACCGTCACAACCATCACCTCTCAAATTGATGACGACCAGTTGACAGATGATGGCACCTTTGACAGCGAATTCCTGGAGGAAGAGGAGGCAGCTGATTTTGGAAATAATGGGGAAGAAAATTGCGAGAGGTTCGAAAATGGAAAGAAGGGATCAATGCTGGTAATTTCAGATCTCTGGTTCAGTAAGTCGGCTTTGTGTATTTATGTGTATTGATGATAATAGTACTAGCTGTTTAATGGATCCAAATAGTTGATCTTGAAGAGAATATGTTCGACAAGAGTGTTTTTTATTTACTTGTTTATTCGTTACTTCAGTCGAATTAGGGGATTTGGGCTGCTTACTTTTTTACTTTGGCCGTTGGTGAAGATGAGACCTCAGGTTTTTTTGAATATGAATTTTGATGAGCACGATATTTAGGCACTTTATGGTATAGCTTATATTATTCCGCTAGGTTTGTTATTAATCAGCTTAATAATTGCGAATTTAATGTAGTTATATGGGTTTTCTGACATTGTTTTGCACAAAACTTTCAAAATATACCTGCTGGAGATTTTTTATATAAAAGTGCTTAGTGTTGTTGGCCAATATGCAACTCCAGTCAAAAAAAGATACTAACAACGTTTTATAATATGTATAAAGCAGGTTTTAACTGCGTATCTTCTGGATTTAGTTTATGTGAGAAACTATGATATGACTCCGTTTGGTTTTAGACACTGGGCACCCGCGTTCCTTGAGCAACGATTGCCTGCCACTTCATGTTCCCGAGATTGTCTACGGAGGAGATAAAGATAAGGAGAAAAATCGAAATAGGCGCCACAACGATGGTGGTGTACTCGACCGAGACGTAATTCTTCGTCGTGCAGCGAATGTCAGAAAGTTCCTTCCTCCCGAGCTGCATCCTTTTGTGATGCCTGGCTGCTTCAGTAGTGTGTCTGCAACGACTACTTACGCAACTAGAAGCAGGGCAACCGTACTTTGTTCTACAAAGAATGCACAAAATGGGAAGTCGAATGAACACCGCAGAGATCAAAAGTGTAGACATGTTCTCGTGGCTACCCGTGTAAAGGGAATGAAGCGATCGTCTAGTGATCCTCTTCTCCCCAACTCCTCTGCAACGAATTTGGACGTCAGTCTAATTTGATTGCGACATCTGCTTTGTGTAAACTAATTATTAGTGAACTTGTTTTTTTCTGCCAATTAAGCGCCTTTTTATCAATAAAATGGAAATTATTAACTATAAACGTAACTTAACATTGTTTGGGTAGGGGATTCTAAATATTTTCTTAAGTGGCATCGACGTGTTATTAAATGAACAAAATAAGAAAATCACTTCCATCTGAATGGAATCCACTTAATTTGTGCACTTCAATTATTCACTTCCGATTGGTGTTCCCTTTTCAAACCTTTCCCGAAATTGTACCAAGTTGTCTGAGATTTCTCAAAATAACGCAACGTTGGCTCTAATTGCTCAGAATCATTTTCATTGCGATGTATAAATAAGCTAGATTTTGGAATTCTAAATAATTCTTAAATATGCATGAATTCAAATTCGTGACATCACCAAAACAGCTCCTGTACTTTTACTTGCATTGCAAATATCTATTGAAATAACCATGACTGAGTCTGATTATAAACACAAGAAGTGCAGAATGATAGAAAGGGAAAGGTTTTTTTAGGAAAAATGCACAATCTTGTTCATAACCTACTCTCCCAATTCTAAGCACAGTTAATTAAATTTCTAAAGGGAATGAAGCAAAAAGAATCTTAAGACGAAACATTTTCTGAGAAAAGATTAGCTTTCATTCTATGTTCATAGAGATTTCATTGTAAATGATCGTTGATCTCAAAAAATCGGGTAACTGAAATATTGAAATGATGTATGGTCCATGGTGTATGAGTTATCTTAATAATATTAAATATTCTGTTACGATTTTACACTTGTTTGAACATTGATGAACTTCAACGTCGACATTATTCATGGCAAAGAAATTTTCCAAGTCGCCTAAATCTCTAAAACAAAGCAGCAGGAGTTCACAAGGCCATAGTACACCGTTGGAGAAACTATCTAAAGTTCATGTTAATGTTTTAAATACGATGTCAACCTAGTTAATTCATCGATGTCTTCATATAATGATTATTTGTATAATTGGAGACAATTCAAATGACAGGCGTTTTGATAGCTATCATTAGCCATTTATTTGACTTCGGGCTTCAAAGAGGGAAGGTTCATCAAAGTAACAGAAAGTTGAGGGGTAGGGAACAGAAGAGCTATTCCCAGATGTAAAAGACACAGACAGACACAAAGGTAGGGAATCAGTTAAGGTAAGGTGAATACTGCGAAAGTAGTGGAATATGGCATACAGTGGGGTGATGGTAGTTTGAAGTCAGAAGTCAACTGCCAGTTAAAAGACTTTTTGCCGTATGAGTATACGTTGCCCAGGGTGCACCACGTGGAGG